AAATACTAGTAAACATCTTACAATATAGCTACCAACAGCATCTGTGTTAGATGACAAGTAACAGCATAACTGATATGTTAAAAGTAATTTTTTTTCTTTTTTCAATTAAAAAATTAAGAGTTAGTAAAACAGGTAACAACTACGGGTAGTGTTGTTAATCCCAGCACTGGTGTCTGATGGATGCTGACCAAGCATTAATGTTTTTGACGAATTGTAAGTGAGAATGTAATGGAATTTGTTTTATTTTTTAGTTTTGTTGTTGTTGTTTGTTTGTTGTTGTTAAAGGTCTGCTATAAGTCAGGCTATATTTAGTGTAAGCTATCTGGAAAAATGGCGTTCATAATAATTAATTACTACAATTTTACAGGAGAGGCATTCTTTTCTATGATTAAATGAAGGAGTTTTCTTAAAATAAGTTAACTCTGCATGTCCAAAGATTCTACTGTATGCAGTCTGCTGGGTTTCCTTGGATATAAAATGTTTTACAAATCTGTATTTAGGATTTACCCCATAATTCAACTCCAACTGTTTCAATTGGTAACAGAGGGTTGGATTTAGCTTACCCAGATTAATTTATTTGGTTTATAAGCTTTGAAATTAAACTATAGTAAATAAAGAATTTTAAGTAAACTTAATAATGTATCTATCATCAACTAAAGCATCCATTTAGGTCGGAGCTGCATTCTCTCTTTAGAGTGTGATTGAAATGACCCTGTAAGGTGCCCTGAGTGGGCATGTGATGTGAATTGGCATTATATAAACAACTTGGATTGAAGTAAAATCAAGTGCAGTTGTTGTTTACACTGGTTATCTGTGTCTGATGTTAACATCTTTTTTTTTATCTGACACATTTTAGGCTCAGAGAGTGAGGCAGTTTTCCTCTTCATTTTTCCGTGAACAAACAGCAAGTGACACATCCAGCTGGACTTTCATACTGAATTTAGAGATCCCATGGCTCTGAATTATTCAACAAGATGTGGATTTATGCATCATACTAACTATAATAAGCATCCTCTATACCCTCCAAAAGAAGCAGTTTGAAAATAAATCTACAGAACCTTTCAAAATAAAAAAAAAATAAAGAGAAATACCTTTCTTCAGCAGTTTAACTCGAGCATGCACTAAATAATACAGTACTGTATGTTCTAGTTGCATGGGGGGGGGCAGATTTAAATGAGTCACTCAGCTGAGTCATCTTTTCACTGTGAGGTGAAAACGTCATTCAAATCTCTACCCTTTTAAACCAAACAGAGTTAACTTCCTTTTTCTTTCATCTTCAAGTTCAGTGTTAGCTAAAGATTTTCTTAAAAAGGGACTAGATTCCTTGCAGGTATGTGGGGCCACACTCCATGTGGTGCTACATTTGGAGAATATTTCTGTGCAACGCTCAGCTGAGGCAAGGCAGCGAGGTTTTGACCACAATGCATTCTCCGCCATCCCACAGATTGGTTTGGGTTTATCACATTTTAGCCATTGGATCTTTTAGTGCACGCCAGCGGTGCAAATAAAAGAATAAATCGCAATCTGAGGGTGTCCAAATACTACTGTGTGATTTGGTCCTGCTGTGTAGACACTCTGCTCTCTGTTCCTTCACTCAGTTTACACCCTGAAAAAGTATGCCGCATGCAGCATCCTTTGGTCATTGGCAGGAGGGGAGGGATCTGGAAAGTATGTGAGTTATAGTAGTTTTGTAAAACTAAATGACATAAAAAATGTGTTTGGTTTGGCTAAGTGTGCTTTGATCAATCACATGTTTACATTTCTGTTGAGATTAAAAAGTACAGAATATGATTTTTCTAAGAAATCTCAAACTAAATTGACGTTTTTCCAAATAATCTAAAGTACTGTGTATAGAATCTGACGTGGGTAATAAATAGCAACATCTGTATGCAGAACATATTGAAATGTTCTTTTAGTAGTAGTTGTAAAGTCCGAAACTTCTTACTTTTAGACTACTGAAGTACATTTTCTGGCTACTCTGCCTGTCGTGAATAACTTGAGCTATTTAGAAAGATGTTTCTCCATTAAGTATATGTAGTTTTTCCTACTCATGCTACAATGCTATAAAGTATACTTTAAATTCAAATAAGTTCTGTTGTATTAAATTTCCCTAAAATATCAAATGGTTTGACAAATTACTTGAAACTTAAAGCAATTTAAACTACTGATCAGTCTTTGCTTTAAAGCTACAGTGTGTAATAATTACAGGGATATACGGTCAGAAATGTAATATATTATACATAACTATGTTATTTATCATCATCTACGAGCTCAGCCTCTTAACCTTAATATTTGCGTTGCCTTAGAATTCTTTATTTATAATTACATAGGAGCGGGTCTCGCAGCCATGGAGGCAGACATCTTTGCGCTACGGCAGCGCAGAGCCAACAAACTAGCGATTGCGAGATCGCCCATTACGCTCGAAAGTAACTACGGCAAGTTGAGAGAGATGAACTGAGACGGTACTGAAATCTATACCCTACACAGACTAATAAATACTATCTGTAAAATTATCTATGTAAACAAACCTCATCACTTGAGAAGGTAGGTGATGCGGACGTCGTGGAAAACATTTTGTCCCGTAACGCTCGCCGTACTGTTGGGGGGGAGAAGCGGTGGGGGGGAGATGTTCATGTTGCTGCAGTCTGCAGTCTGACCGCTAGATGTCGCTGAAAATTACACACTGTAGCTTTAAAGTATTTCTTTTTACAAAAAGTAATAAAACAAAATAAAATAAAATAAAACAGCTTTTTTGACCTTTTCGATGGTGATCAATAATTTCTGGTTTCACAGACTGCAGTAATAACAGTGCAAATTTCTAATTTTTCTATCTATTTATTGTTTATTGTAGAGTTCAAATCAGATCACAATAAAAATGAAATTTAAAAGTGGAGACATTTTTCTTAGGCAAAAAACTAGTGATGACAAGTAAGAAAAGACTGTGAGACATAACGACGTAATGACCAACTCTCAGAAAAGAAAATTAAACTCCAACGTAAATGAATTGCTTCAATAGTTATCAATTAATTAATTAATCATAATGTTTAATTCATCTGAGATTCCTAACTTATGAACTTTATAAATCAATTTGGAACAAGTTGATTCAATTACTTGTTAGCGATTGAAGCAATTCCTATAAGTTGGAGCTGTACTTTCTTTTTAGGGTGAAGAAACCAGGAGGGTCACAGGTAAAGATACTGAAGGGAAACGCCTAACAAATTGTGCGAGGAAGAAGAAAGTGCTTCAGTATAAGTGGAAAGATTAGAGTCAGAGAATGAAGACCATGCAGAGAAAAACTGGTGGACAAAAAAAAAAAAAAAAGCCATAGAGTTAGGTGATCCAGCTTATCCAATTTGACCACCTGGTACGTGCTTATTCAGGGGCGTAGCCAGAAAATTTTAATAAGGGTGGCCAGGCAATAACAATGTACACTGAGGGGTGGCCGAAAGCGGATAGGTGCCAGAACCTCAGAGTCAATCTGCACTGTTCCAAAAGGAAAATGAACAATCACAACATCCATATTTTCTAAATAAAGACAAACTATTCTTTCCTAGAGCCTTTGCTAACAAATAAACGCATATATTTAAACACCCATGGTGTCTAAATAAAAGGTGTAGTGGACAAAATTCTTTCAGTTTTAAGTTCTGGGGCGAACATCTTATTATCATTACTAACCTACTTTTATTAATATTCATTGAGCATAACATTAATATTTACATGTACTAATATCTACATTAAATTGATTAATTATTATTAAAGTAGTTATTTATCTGTGATTTCAGTAAAGATTCCTAGATGACTTGTATAGATATAATTTTCTCTTTACCCCATATAAGACAAAATGTAGTTCTGAAAAGAAAATTAATTCTGTATTTATCTTTAATGTTAGTAATGTTGTTTACATATAAAAAATTAAAATGTTAAATAAGTTAGAACTTTCCACTTGAGAATATAGGGCGACAGTGGCGTTATAGGGCGACAGTGGCGTTGGATGTTGGAGTTTGCCCTGAAATCGAAGGGTTGACGGTTCAAGCCCCGGCTCTGACTTTCATTGTCGTTGTGTCCTTGGGCAAGACACTTCACCTGCATTGTCTACTGATGGTGGTCAGAGGGCTTGGTGGCACCAGTGTACGGCAGCCCCGCTTCTGTCAGTGAGCCCCAGGGTAGCTGTGGCTACAATGTAGCTTGCCACCATGAGTGTGTGTGTGAATGGGTGAATGAATGTAGTGTAAAGCGCTTTGGTCAAGTCTCCTGACTTGAAAAAAGGCGCTATATAAGTACATACCATTTACCAATAATATTGCTGCCACCATCTGTATTGTAGGGAAAAAATGGTAGGGTGGCCAATCATTGCTAGCTCTGCCCCTGTGCTTATTCTCTGTATAATTTCCAGTATCTGAATCCTATATTATAGTCTTTTCTCTGTGGATGTTTTGCTAATATATACTGTACACATGAGAGATTTATTTAAATGTTTCAAAGGAGATGTCATATGCAACCCTGCTTAGATAGACATTTTCACCAAAATTTTTTCCTACTTGTTTTGATTCTGTTTTATTTTCCTATATTTTAATCATGTAAAGCACTTTGCATTGTCTTTGTAGTGAATTGTGCTATACAAATACATTTGCCTTGCCTTTCCTTGCCTTACATGTCAGTTTTCAAAAATGTTCAAAGTGGCTGAATGTTCCTGCTTTTTATTTTCTTTGTTAACGTTTTATTTTTTTTAGCACTTTGCTTAAAGGTTATCTTATATATGTGCTATACAAATTAATTTGAATCTCGTCATCACACGTTCACAGTTTGGAAGGATTAAATAAACAACATAATTAACAAATATTAATTTCCCCAAAAATGTTCAAAAGGGAAAAGGAAAAACATCTTATCTTGGCAATGACTGGGGATTCCCTATCATCCTCCTCCTCCTCCTCATCATCATCATCATCTTTGAGCCCTGCGCACTATTTAGCAACGGCAGATTCTCCCCTCCTCCTGCGCGGAGTAATTCGCGCATGTGAGAAGGCTCCACTTGTCAGTCAGACTTTGAACTGCGCACTGGCGCTCATCACTGCTTATCTCTGACCGCTGCTTGTCATCAAAAGACGCTGGGCACTGACACTTAGCGAGCTCAGATGTAAAGATTAGGATGAACAGTTGTTGAAAGAAAGAGAGAGAGAGAGAAAGAGAGAGAAAGGAAGAAGGAAAAATCCATAGAGCATCTCTAAGGGAACAGAGCGGGGATTAAACGTTCGCTTTAACGTTTACTCGGGAGTTGAGATGGTCAACACCAGGGATGTGTTTTTCGCCTTGCTTTTCGTGGGCTGTGCAGGTAGGAATCATAAGCATGCTTTTTTTTTATCTCATCCATTTCCGTTCTTTATTCATTGTGGTCCGGGACTGCGGGCGCTCCTTATGTCTCCTCTGCCTGCAGCTCTCTTATTTAGCAGGTGCGATGAGGACACTGCCTCTAATTAGCTTACAGGAGAGCTGATTGTCTAGTAAAGACAGCTTTCTACCTATTATTCCACATTCACACACGCAAACAGCCCAACTGGCTGCTATAAACGGCCATGCGCTGACTTTGCGTTATTGCATGGTCAATAAATTGATGCAGTGGGATTTAAATCTCGTGTAGGTGCGCCGTTTGTGTTGAAGTGTGACTCAGGGATTATTGTGCTTGTGTTTTGTAGAGTCGTGTCTATGTGGGCCGTTTGCTCTCCGCTCAGATGGGACGTGTTTGTTGATCGCTGGGAGGGATGCTGCGCGCCCTGTTTGGGGACACAAACACGGACGCGCGGCCAAAATACACCCCTGATGTGTCCATGCCCTTGATGTTATGATCAAACTGTGCAAAACAAAAGAAAGAAAACGCGTTTGACGTGCACCTGTGCATTGGCAGTGCGGTGATGACATTCTGGAGGTGGGGTTTGCAATGCATACGGACACCAGGGGTTATAGTTACGCACAGCAAGCGCAACTTCTACTCTGAATCGTGTTATATAACCTGATGCCACGATGCAAGCTTAAAATGAGACCCCCCCCCCCCCCCCCCCTAAGTTGTTAAACGTGTCCTTTACGTAAGAGATACTGGGGGAGTTTTGTGCAATTGCATTTTAATGATATTTGCACGCTCTCTTTTGATTAACGTCAGTATTTTCGGAAGTGTTGGGTGCTTATGTTTGAAGTAGCGCTTTTAGCTCCACCAGGCTCAGGATTTTCCGTGGGTTAGCATTTTAATCCTTCATGTACAATCCGATGTGAAGGGGTGTTCCTCAGGCTAGAGTGGAGAACGCAGTGGGAGTGGAGCTCTCACTGCATTGTCATGGTAATGCAGCCTTCTTTGCACAATTAATTTAATTTAAAATATAAAGGATAAACAGTTAATTATGCAATAACCTATCTTAAGTGACCACATGTACATTAATATATAAATAAATCTAATTCTTATAGTTCCTATGATATATAAATAAAAAACATGATCAAAACACTGCAATTAGATTTTTTGATAAAGTTATTTAAGAACTAAGATTTGTTATGTTTTATATCTGATTAAAATTTATTTAGGGAAGATCAGAAGCCATGGAGCTATAAATAGTTTGTAAATATACTATTATTGGTCTAGTATGAAATGAAAAAAGGCAAAAAGAATTGCACCTGTCATTATACATTAATGCACATCATATAATAACATATTTGTTTAGTATTCTGAAACAGTTTTGTTTTTAAACTGCTGAATTACATAAAAAACAAGCAATCCTTTTTTAATCCTTTTTTCTTACTGTGAAAAGGGTAACTTTGCCATGATTACTCCCACCACTTTCCCAAATCTTGATAATTTTGGCCCCAAGGTTAATATTAGAAATCAGTATTATGGAACCATGTAAAAACAGTCCACTTTTATTGCGTATCACCTGAACCATTTTAGTTCACATTGCACTCTGTTAACAACTCTATACAGTCATCTTTTTGTATGAACGACGTCATATTTTTTAGTCATTCCTTTTGTCCAATTCAAAATCTTGGTGGTTTCCATTTTCAAATTATATTAATTCTTAAATTTGTCTAAAGCCAATTAGAAAGGCATCATGCTCAATTTAGATTTTTATTTATTTAACCTTTATTTAACCTGGAAATAATCCCATTGAGATTAAAAACCTATTTTTCAAGGGAGTCCTGGCCAAGAGGCAGCAAAGTTACATAAGAAACATAGATATATTAAAATAAATGAAATGACAGGTATATATGAAAAAAAACATATCAAGTACAACATTAACAGATCATTGAGGCTGCTTCAATTTTTTCACTTTCAACTTAAAAGCATTTAAAGATAAAAACTCAGTCAATTTTCAGTTTCTTTGTAAAAAAAAAAATCCAAAAGGAGCTGCGTAGCTAAAGGCTTTCTTCCCTAGTTCTGTGCGGGCAAAAGAAACAGTGAGCAACAGCTGATAGTTGGATCTCAGGGCATAAGAAACCGTGCTTAACATCACTTATCTCCCTAAAAGAGTGTTAGTTTTGAAATGAAGCTTAAATAAAATTCATTCTGGAAGACTTGAGACTTCAGTTTCACCTGAACCATGTGTGATGTCCCTCGTCCAGCTTCAGCAAATCATCTCTGGGCCACACCTCATCCGAAGCCAATCCTCTTTCAAGATCCCCTTCATTTAGCTCCTGAACTAGCCTCTCTCCCGCATTCATGCAAACTTTCACCCACTTGCACCCAATCTCCTCCTTCACTATCAGACTATTCTCAGTCTCACCCTCTGGCTTATGCCGTCACCAGTGTGAGGAAGAATGCACTAATCCTTTTCCAAAGTTACTCATCCAAGCCAATGTTCATTCACAGCATCAAAGAGGTCTGAGCACTAAAGAACTTATTTCATTTATGTCACTACCTGCACACCCGCTTCTATTTCCTTGAACCCAAGTTAGCAGATGACTGCTCACACTGAGCCTAGTTCTACTGGAGGTTTCCTTTTAAAAGGGAGTTTTGCTCTCCACTGTCACTACATGCTTGATTGTTGTGAGGATTGCAGACAGCCAATGAGTTGATGCTATCAGCTGGTTTTTCATAGATAGAAACATTTTAACAATCTGACGGTGAAACCTGTTTAAATAAATTGTATTCAATAATATTTTTCTAACTGCAACTTTCTCTGTGTGTCTCTCAAGGTTGAAATAATAATAATATTCATCTGTGTTTACTTATATTTTGTATTTCAACAATATATCAAAACATTTGTTGTGCTTCCATAATCAACAGAAAAAAATATTTTATTTTAATGACAGTAATTGGAGATTTCTTCTAGCTGTAGACAAGCCCTTTTACATTTCTATTGTTATTGTGTTTATCTTTTGTGTTTAGACCCAAATATTAAATGCTGAAAGGTCTCCTTATCCCAAGCCTAATCATGAGCTCCTTTCACAGGTTCTCTGTTACATTCAAGTGTGGACAATGGCTGCACTGCTCCAAAATGTCATCATTGCATTCAGTCAGAAGGATTTTTATCTTCTTTAAAGATAATACTACTATCTTAAATATGGTTTGGATAATTGTTACTGTGAACAATTGTCGGCTTAACCTGAGCATGTAAATGAGTAAATATATTTAATCATAGGTTTCACAAATCAAAACACTTGATCTAAAATTGAAATCATTTATTCAAGGTCTTACCCATCTACATTATATATCGTTGATGGTTCTTGCTGAAGTGATTCTGCATAAATGAATGGCTTCAGTTGTTAACAATCAAATTGATCCAACTTAATTCAATTATTTGTTACCAATTGAAGCGCTTCATTAAAGTCGTTTTCTCTTTAGAGTGTAGTAATGTTTTCTTCTCAGATTATGTTTGAATGAATATACAGTTAGTGTAAAGAAGTCCAGTTTGGATTGGACCAGTGTAAGCATTTTAAAGTTTTAGGATAAAATGCAGCCCAGGTTAAAAAATCAATCAATCAATCAATCAATCAATCAATCAATCAATCAATCAATCAATCAATCAATCAATCAATCAATCAGTCTAGAATTAGGGTTGTCAAAAGTATTTATACTCCTTAAAGTATTAATACTGAAATGCTGTATCCGAATGCAGTACTAATTTCGGATGGTATCAATACTAAAGAGAAGTTTTTATTGCATATTTTTGCTATTGCTGATTTCAGATTTGTTTCGCACATTTATTTAACCAGCCTGTGCTCTTTTGAAAAAGCATATTTCATGCTGAGATTGTAAAAGGTGAAAAAAAAAGACTCAATTGACTTTAGTTGTAAATTCTAGGAATCAGTCAGGCACAAATTTCATGAATTTTCTTTTGTTTGTTTCAAGGCTTTTTGTCATCTTCATTTGAGAGGCGTTATGTGCTGTGAGTCATATTAATAGCTACAACTGATCAAGAACTGTAAACAACTATTTTGAGGAGAGATGTGTCTCAGTGGAAATTTTGAATTAAATGAGCTAATGATTTTTACATTCAAGGATATTAAATTTACAATAAAACAGTTACACTTTTATTGTTTAACATACATTTGATAATTGGTAACTAATGATCTATCAATATGTTTCAGTGCAAGTTAATGTTTGTATTTACAGGTATGTTTCTGTTTCACTGTTCTTTAAATCCTAAGGAGGAGAAATTTTGCAATGATATTTATATGCGGGGCGAAATCTAATGTAAAAGTTTGGTTAAATTCTATCTAAGTACCCTAACAAATCTGTCACTCTCTAGCAAAATAGATTTTACAATATTATTAGAAAAATAAATAGTTTACTTAAGCAGTAGGCATTTCTAGGGATTCATCTAGTTGTAAGTACATAGCTGAATGTAAATGAAATAAAATCCTCAACTTTAAAATGCTTGTTGTAGGGCAGGGCTGCTTGCAGCATTAATGACTGAACTGAGATTGAGGAGGGATTAACCCTCTTTCTGTTCCCTGTCCTGTAATTGATCCTCTTCCAGCTGATAACAGCTACGTGGATTCATTTTCAAAGATGAATTACAGCCCGAGAGAATGAAGCCAGACTTGATAAGAGATTAGTTGTAAATTTCTTTAAATTCTGGGACATCTCCACATATCACCATATGGCATCTTTGAATGGGAGAAAGCGGCTTTGTGCTTTACAGTAGGGTTGGTTCAATGAGGCTGTCTTACATCATCAGTCATGTGGATGTGATGACGTAGCTCCGTGCTGCTCTGTTTCCAAAGCAAGATTGAAGCAGGCCAACTTAGAAAAGCTCCAGCCCTCCTTACGACTGACTTAGCATTGGGAGGATGTAACCAACGCTGCCATAAGCAATGGCTGCAAGTCCAGAAGCTCCCATTTGACAAAAC